CGCCGTGTTGCCCCGATAGACTCCAGTTTACTCACCTGTGCCTCGTAGGCATGAAAAACTACGAAAAATAGTGTTTCACCTTAGTGTAACAGACCTTACAGGAAACTTTGCCCGACTTTGTGCGCTGAGAAGAAAGACGGCTGTAGTCCCCTGAAAAAAGCTTTAAAAATCATTCTGCACTTTCACTCTAGGATAAAGCACACATTCTGGTAGAAAGTTAGCAGAGGCAACGATTCGTAGATATGTGATCTGACTGCCAGTTGGAAGCCAAGGTATTCTTGGCCACAAAGGCGTGTGGAAAAGTTGGATTGGATCGCTATGATCAAGTACGTTTCAAAGCAAGTTAATGAGATCTTAAGTTTTTCTTAAACCGGGAAAAAGGAGCCTTGTAACTGCACCTTGATAAAACACTTATTAGCAGGTTATTAGCATTTCGTACTACAGCAAAATAAATGATAGAGCCTTATGAAGTTATATTTGACTTAAGCATAGAGGATCAGAGAGTATTGCAACCAAAATACTACATGATTCTAGAATTACTGAAGACGTTTGTCAGCAAAGAATGCCAATGCCAGGGTAGCGGAGTTCCTGCTATGTCAATCATAATCCTGATGTTACTGAGTGGCTTTTGAATTCGTCCTCTCGTCATGGTATTTCGATTCCTGAAATCGGATTTACTTCGTTAAGCGCAGCACTCTTTGCTTTCAGTCGCTTAGGGAGATCATTTAAATAGGCCACCGTTCATTGGGATTTAAGCACCTGCAATGTACTGGACGCAAAACAGCGTTCCAATGTGCGTACGCTGAGTAAGTTTGGTATTACAAATGGACACGGTAATGAAATTGAATTGGTTTTGACTACCGGTGAAACTGAAAAGTCAATATGTTGTGGCTACCCAGAAGCAGGGGGTTTACAATTTGTTTCAGTTTGTTTACAATTTGTGTATCTATCTAGGGATAGTGAAAACTCTTATTTGTGCTGGATCACATCCTTCGAAACATGCAGGTTCTGCGTACTCTTTCTAGTGATAGCAGCCGTGATATCATCATACCTTTCCTTACCAGCTGACGAATGAACGCTTAAACATGCAACACGCAACTTGCCTCCTATAGAAATGACAAGTGGATTACAACATTCGAATTTGGCTGTTGCGAATGTGAACAACTCGTTACAGAGCTCCTTTCCTAGCTCGCTGTTGAGTCAACCTGAAAATTCGGGAGTCGTATCTAAGAGACTTATGTTCCACCGTGCCTCGGGTACAATGGAATGCATTTGAGAACATGCTTGGCGACCCTCAGCGAAAATAGGAAAAGTCAGTTATGATCAGGGGATTTCTTAACCTTGATTTTATCACATAATGCTACAACATACCAAGCGAACCCCCTAGGTTAATTTGAGAAGAACAAAGACCCGCTGAGGAGTTACCTACAAACAACAGGCAATTTAGCCTAGACATTATCACCTTTGCATTCTCTGTGTTTATGTTGCTTGCTTCCAAGTTTCGCTCTGTATTTTTTTGAACAAATAGGATATTTTTCAACGATCAGGATTCACGGTCAGGCGACTGACCCGCTGGTTCTAGCT